TGAGGAGTGGAAAGAAAGGAGGAACAGCATGACGGTCACCCATAAGATTTTGATTTAATTTATTTTATTTTTTAGGGGTTAGGGTGGCTAATAAGTGAAGCATGTCCCAGCAGCATGTTTTGGAGAGAAAGAGCATTCTTGGTTGCCGCCAATAAAGTTTAGTGTCCAAGCTGTTCAAATTATTTTTATTTAATCTTGGAGAATGCGGCAGCCTAGTGTACTGCTGAACAGAAGTAAACACATTGGGGACTGGTAATAATTAAAAACAGAGAAGGAAACAGAAAAGAAAATTCATTTTTAAACATTGCAGAAGGAGAATCTTAGGGCCTAATTACACGGACCGTTTAAATAGTTTATTTTTCGTCCTTTTTTAGTATTGATATATTTGCATATAATTCAGGTGGTGCATACACCGCTGGGCCTATTCACATGGCTGTCATTTCCATTGGTAAATTTCTTGCTACTATTTGTACCAGTTCTGTAGGCTGAATTTATTCATTTTCCATCCTGTTTCGGGGACCCTGCTACCCTAAAATTTTCTTTTAGAAAAATCGTGATATATCACTAAAGTGGCATATACATTTGTCTGTAATTATGTAAAATGCAGAAGGCAGCACTGGAATCAGATTCCTAAAAAGTATTTTGTATTAACTGTTTGTCTTTTTTAAAAGTTTATTTTAAAATGCAAAAATGGCCACCCCAAATTATTGCAACATTTTAGGAGTAACAAGCAAACAGTATTTGTTATACTAAAGAATATAAAATTTTTATCAGTTATTACACTACTTAAAAGTAATTTATCAACTTTTAATTATTTCGCTATATGCCATTGCTTCCACCTTCCAGCAACCATCCTAATGTTTTCTATGTGTAAAGCACTCAGAAGTGGTTTACCTGTTCCACCTTCCAGTAGTGTTCTGGGACTATGCAGCTTGCTCAAGGCTACACAGAGAGCAAATCATGTAACCCAGGATATCATGGCCTTTCTTCCTCACAAGAGGCACAGTGGGGTTCACACCTTAACCCCAGGGACTCCAATCCACTGAGCTATATCAGTTCATTATTTTTTCTCCTCCACCTGCCCCCAAAAAGCTGTGTTGTGATGGCAGTTGTATTTGTATGGTTTCAGCTATAGCAGATATTTGGTATACACAGTTCAACGTTTGATTACTACCGTGAATAACGTGCATATGTAAACTGGACAGAACTCTTGTAAGGAGGTTTGGAGAACTAGGTTTCAATCCTGTTTCACTTCGGGAAGAACTCAGAAAATGAATCCTTTCTCCCTTCAACAATACTGGCTAGTTCAAAATTCGTATGTAACTACAAAGCGTAAACAATTTATGAACACACGCACAAAGAGAGAGATACTTCAGAACACCCTGACCTGCATCAGGTGAGTCTTGAACTTTGCAGCACGGCATTGATTGATTCATTGAAATATTTTGTTTGTTTATAAAAAAATCAGTGTATAACCAAAACCACACTACTGGGACCTGTGCAATTCATGGGAGAAGTGTATAAACTAGTGTTTGTTTTTTAAAAATAGAGACTGAAAACCAGGAAGCAATGTTGTGTACTGCTTAAAATGTTGGAATTATCATGGGAGGTCAGAGTTCCTATCCAGACTGAGCCCAGATACTCATTGGAAGACTTTAGAGAGCACATTTTCTTACAAACTGACCCCTCTCATTGGGTATTTGTTGCGAATACTGTAGAAGGGAATAGGATCAAGCCACATATGGCACTTGGGCTTAGTGAAGGAAAGATATATAATAAATGCAACAGAGAGAAAAATTATACAGAGGATCTGGCTACCATATATTTATGATCAAAGTTTGGATTCTTATTTTTAAAAAGTACTCATTATTTCCTCATTATTTCTCACCAGCCAACTTGTCATCATCATTACTGTTACTTCAATGACAAGTAATTTGACACATTACACATTGTTAACATATTGGCTGAAATCCAGGTGTAGCTGGTGCAATGTAAAGCCATGTCTGCTGCAGATTATAGGCTGTTGCTCCCAGGCGAGCTGAATTGCACAATTTGATTGCACAGTCCACGTTGGTGCTATTATTGCTGTCACTTGCACAACTTTGAACAATGCAAGTGTAGCACTGCAGGATTTCAGCCACTGTATGGTTGTTACCAGTGGCTAGAAAATACCAGAAAACAGTCATTGTAATATTGAATATTGAAAATATTTGCACAAGTACAAAAAGAAGTAACAATCTCAAAATTCTTCGTCAACATTTTTATTTGTTTGTGTATTTAAAATATTTTTACCCTGCCTTTCTTCTTAAAAGGACCCAAGGTGGCTTACAACATTAAACAGCCACCAAGGATGATTTTAAATGCCCTTTAAAATTCTAGTTGAATGTAAGTAGACAATGCTTTTTTTATATACCTATGAGGTTACACTGGAAATATTTTTATATTACCTTTATATGGCTGTGTAATTACTTTTTCTATTGCTCATTATAAAAAACCATCAGTTATGAGAAACTGAGTTACTTGAGTAGAGCTTTCCATATCATTTCCCTCATAGAAATTAATGATGGAGGCTATGTAGGTGGGGGAAGTTTTCAATATGACTATTATTCATCAGTGTTGTAGTTCTTTCAGAACTCTCACTTTCTAAAAGTCTTTAAATCTAATGAACAATTTAGAGTGGCAATGATGGAGTAAAAAAATATTTTTCAAATTCTTCAGCCCTTGAACATTTGGAGGGGTGTGATGTTTCAACATGTGCATGTACAGGTTCAAAATGTGTCCCGGGCCTTCAGGGTCCAAAGCAACCCCTTCCTAATTCTTCTGGTGGGCCATCATAACTTTTGTCATATGTATACCGTGTTTTGCCAAAAATAAGACAGGGTCTTATATTAATTTTTGCTCCAAAAATGCAGTAGGGCTTATTTTCGGAGGATGTTTTGTGTGTTTTTTCCATGTACAACAGCCTACATTTATTCAAATACAGTCATGTCATATTCTGGTTGCTGCAAGGGTGGAGGGCGGGGTTTCACTTAACTGGGGCTTATTTTGGGGGTAGGGCTTATATTACGAGCATCCTGAAAAATCATACTAGGGCTTCTTTTCAGATTAGATCTTATTTTGGGGGAAACAGGGTGCTTTTAAATAGTCCCAGATCTAATTTTAATTCATTTACAAAGTCACAATAATATTTAATATTGTCTAGCTCAGTGTGATGTAATAGAGAGAATGGTGGACTAAGATTCAGGAGTTCTGGGTTTGAATCATCTCATAACCATGGAAACTTATGAGGGGGCACTGCTAAAACCATTCCTAAAATATCGTACTTACCCTGAAAGCTCTGTTAGAATCCGTGTCTGTTGGCACATACGGCAATACACACATAATAGCCCTTGTGAAAGGATGGTTTGCAATTCCTGCTAATATTTGAGGAAGGAAATGCTAAGGGCTATGTGTAGTGTGATCCCGATTTCACTAAATGGAAGCAGTGATAAATTCCAGAGTAGTGATAGCCAGATGGTTTAGTGTCCTTTGGATGAGAGGGCATTGTGGAGACCCTATGATGTGTTTGCAATATTTGCCTTATTTACAGATATACAAGCATAACAGAGGTGGAAGAAGCTGGCATTCCTACATCAGGTTTACCAACTTCCCCCCCCACCGCCCCCCCTAAAAAAAACATCCAGAGAAAGAAAGCACTCAAGACTGCCAGCTCGAGTTTCAGCTCACTCCAAATAGAAATTCTCAGAGGTCTTGCTCATTCTCGCACACTGTCTAGGTTCATTCAGGGGTAACATGAAACCATGTTTTGGCATCAAAGGAACAAGCCCAGAGTTATTTCAGGCTTTTTAGCTTCTTCCACTTGTGCATGGTGATGGATGAGAGTCCACATTATCTCTGTCACAGAAACCAATGGTAGAGAGCATGCTTTTACATCCCCCCCCCCCATTTTGGGCAAGTTGGTGGTGGAGGGGGAAAGAGGCATTTAATGCATAGTGGCACAGTGAGGGGAGTGCTACCCCCCCCGCCTAGCAGGGGAGCTCCAGCAAGGGCAGAAATATTTTGATTCCCCTTTCCATGCCCACTAAGATCCTAATAATTATTCCTCCTTGCACCATACAAACATACCTTGCATTTTGTTTATTGTATTTCATTTATATATCACCCATCTAATGGCAACTCTGGGCAGTTCACAACAAATAAAAAATTCCCACCTCCAACCAAAAAGACATATAATCCAAACAAAAGGAAACCCCCCAGTGACAACAGTTAAATAGTGTAACAGAATTAAACATAGCATTTTAAAAAATCTACCATGGGGGGAGAATATTCTTAATGACCTCTTTAAAAAGCATTGTTTTTACAAGCTTGCAAAGATTAGAAGGGAGGGGGCCTGATCTACCTCCATAGGCATAGTGTCTCAAAGTGTCATGGCCACCACTGAGAAGGCCCAGATCCTTTGGTAGTTGCAGTTTTCCGGGCCTTTCTCAGGATAGCCACCTGCAGCATCGAAGCTTGGGAGGAATGGGTGGCACAGGCAGAAGGTCTTAGGGAAAGACACACCAACAGGTATTTAGGTGCCAAACCGTTAAGGGACTTATAAGACAACATTAATACCTTGCAATAATTTTACAAAACTTGCAGAGGTTATTCAGCATCCCGCTTTTAGTTTGGTCCTTAACCTGTCTCTTCCACTTACACATATCTGAATGTTTGAAATGATCATTTCTGGCAGTGTAAACTGCAGATGCAAGGAAAGCTGGCCCTACCATTAGGCAGCGTGGGCCAAGTGCCTCAGGTCTCATGCTGTAAGACAGTGAATCTGTTCTCATTAACACTCCGGCTGTTCTTTTCAGTTGGAGGGCAAAACCGTCATGCTGCATCACCTGTTCTAGTGCCCCCAAATCAGCCTGCTACCTCAAATGTAGTAAAGCGTTTCCTCATCTGTGCTGGACATTTCTGAACTCCTCAGCCACAGTTTTAGAAGCTGCACACACTGGACTTTTTTTATTTATCCTTTATTTTACCATTTATAGTTTTTTCCAAGAATTGTTCAGATTAAGCAATGTACAACAATCATAACATTTTTTAAAGTTTTGTTTTTAAAAAAAATACTAAGAGCAATAAATTTCACAGCAATTAAAAACATTACGACCAATGTATTGGCAGATAATCGCCACATTATTTATATGCAAAAGCGTGGCTGCAAAATGCAAGGAGAGCCACCATACAGAAGTATAAAGTAACTTATCAACCAGCCCAAGAGTGCAGTCATGGCTCCATTGTTGAATGAACACAGCACCGTGGAAAGTTAAATTTTTGGACTATAAATCTCAGAGATTCTGGAAGCTGTAGTCAAGAGAGGTAACATTTCCAAGCTTTAAGTAGAATGTTAGACACGAATGCCCAAACTAGCCTGCTGATAAATAATAATTATGTGCCACAATTTAGTTTTCACATAGGGGAACTCTTGCCATGACGTCCTGGATATAAAGTACTGTACTGTACTCAGAAATGTTTTGCATGGCCCTTATTCTAGTGATGCTCTGGTACTGTGCAGCTTGCTGAAGGCTACAGTAGCTGGAATCAACACACCATTTCCTTCTCGCTGAAGGAGAAAATGTTGAACATGATGTCATATTATAGAACCATGTTTAAAACTAAGATGCTATGGATAGATGTGTATCAGCAGCCCTTATCTGGGCTGTGTCTCCTGCATTTGTAAATACGATACAATGTGTTGGATCGCAAGGAGGAGAAATGTCTTTTTGACATCTTGAAGTGCCACCAGTAGGCAGCAATGAGCCACCTGAAGGCATTGATCCATCATGGCAAAACACAAAAGTAGCTCCCATTTGAATTCATGGCAGGGTTGTTGTTGCACATAAACATTATCTTCTTGTAGATTTTCAATCTAAACATGCTCACATCAAGTTTCATGTTCTTTATTTGCATTGTGGATTACCAACCATTTACTGTATATTTATTTACTGTATTTAAAATATTTATACCCCACTTTTCTCCTTGAGAGGGAAGACCCTTAACAGCAGACAGCTTTACTGTATATGGTTTTCAGATTCTTGCATGACTGAAACAGGTGTGCCCCACAGAAGCACATTTTATATTTAGTAGAATAAATAAACCCTGATCCAATGCTGTGGAAACAATATATTGTCCCCATTTAATAGAGGCCAGGATAGCCTAACAGTTGGAGAGTAATATCAGTGAGGAGGTTAAACAAAAACAAAAAAACCAGCTTTGTTTTGTGAGTATTTTTCTTTAACTCCAATGGGGCCAGGTAAGTATTCTAATACTGGCTTTGCTCAGTGGAGGAATACAAAAACTAACTGAAACAACAGCGGGGCAGAGTAGGGTAAGTGGCTCTTCTGCACGCTATAACAATACCTAGTGCTTTGAAGAGTGGTAAGATTATACAGCAGAGAGCACATACTGTAGCCCCCTATGCACCTAACTTGAACATACAAGAAGATGTTTACAACATGCTCAAAATATTTATGGGAGAACACGCAAGGATGCAATTTCCCCACCAGTTTGGAAGCTGAAGTGATGAAGTCTAGCAAGAGTTGCATGCACCATATGACTTCTTTGATCATGGAAGGAGGCCACTTGCTCTGAATGTACAGGAGTTGCTCAAGGGATGCCTCAAAGCCCCCTTCTTGATGTTACCCTGGTCTTGGTGAAAGAAATGAAGCAGTCCCTGGGCCAAGCAGTATCCAATATTATGTCACATAGAGTGTGCCTGATCCCACAAATGAAGCTAGTCAAAGTCCAACCTTAAGCACGCTTACCTTTCATAATCACACAATTAGCACGGAAGCTTAGACTAGTTGGTTTTGGGGGGTACAACTCCCAGAATCCTTGAGTTAGCATGGTCGAAGACACCGGCCATACTGGCTGGAAGGTTCTGGCACTTTTAGTTCAAAACGTAATTTTTGTAAGCTTTGATCAAAATGCAGAAAAAATTCTTTAAGTCTCTGGGATGGAGTAAAGAGGACTTGCTACTGGTTGTGCCAGACATGACATCTATAGAAAGGCAGAATAAATGTAGTTAATCCATTCTGAGTCCCTTTAGATTGGAAGCCTGCTTGGATTTGGGCTTGAAAAAATCCTTGCCTCAACATTGTTCTTATTGGATGGTGCACATAAAGAGAAGGGATTAAGGCAAAGAACTGCCAGGTAGTTATAAATTCTGCTTCTTATACAAATTAAACAAATATTCTTTTCTTATTTTGATTGGTTCTATTAAGTCACAAGGAGGGATATAGTGCTAATGGCACCCCATAAACATTTTGCTCACCTCCCTTTGCAAGCTTCTGAAATGTGACCTGTCACTTATTGCAGAACTTCAAAATCATCATTACAATCTATAACTCTACTGTTTGTTTTTCCTTTTTAAAAAAATGGAAGCTAAGTTTCCAAGTTTGCCAATTCGTACACCCAACACCAATTCTCTCTCCTCCAAAGTAAACTAATTGTGAATTTCCCACTGGTCAGACAGAAATAGAAAACCACAGTGGTTATAGTAGGATTTTTACTTTTTGCTCTACTGCTTTTTTTAAAAGGAAAAAAAAAGATTAATATTCCAAAGCATATTTATAGAAACCTAGTCATACAACCTGAACATCCTAGCTGTTGCTTCCAGGCATCTATGTTTGACTCTGACTTTAAAAATGCACTTACAGAAAAGCAGAATTTGGAAGCCGCCACCCCCAACGTTTCCCAGATATGGAGCTAGGTGGGAACACGCTGTTCTTTATTACTGTTTCACATGTTTCAAGACTGAGCAGTGACACAGCATTGAAAAGAAGCTCCAGAGCTGAACTCCAGAGGAACCCCATGTAAAGACTACTCCCACCCACCTTCAATTTATCTGTTGACTGAAAATTAAAAAAGAGTACACTTGGGTGAGAAAGGTTCAAGCACTATTTGGCTGTTTGTTTTGCGGAGGTGAACAACAAGTTTAAGGAAGAGTCCCTCCGTCATCCATTTCTCTTTCCCTTTTCTAAGCAGAAACCCTTGAAGAAAAAGTGGTTCTCCAGTGGTTTGTGCCAAAAGCAAAGTGTGAGTGCTTGGTGGAAGTTCTCATTAAGCTCATCAAAGTAAAAGATAATGTTTTAAGGGCTTTTTGTGGTCTTTTGTCACTGATGGTCATTAAAAAGGAATGTTGTTTCCAGAGTCTGTGAAGAAGGAGCCACAGCTGCAAAAACAGGTACCCAATTAAAGACCAAGGAGCTGTGGGTTGGCTAAGTCACATCATGTTTGGATTAAAATGCGGTTATTTGGGAAGGAGGGGCAAATGTTACTGGTGTTATCATTGTCCCCTCAGGAAGCGAAGAAAAGTACTGTGGTAACATCCCCTTTTGTCTTCCATCTGCTCACAAAACAGCACCATTCATTTCCTTGACAGTTCACCAAGGAAAGCTTCATCCATTTCTCATCCGTCATGTTATTCTTGCACTATGTCTCCAGGTTGATGGCAATCTAAGTCTCCTTTAAATTCCAGACTTCCTGGCAACTTGACCCCGGTTTTTCGATCCACACACCAACATTTCCCTCGTTGTCCATCCAGTGCTGGGTGACACTGAAATAAAGACATAGTGGCTGTTAATTTACAGGGATAGCAAATCCATCCATCTGCATCCAATAATACTGAAACGAGTACATACTACTAACTTGCACAATATCAATATTTGTCATTTTCTTCTTTGGTATTTTATTGGTATTATAAAGAATTTTGGATTCAGGAGAGAAAATACTGGCAAAAATTTTTCTCAGGTGGATGCAAGCCATTGCAAGATCATCCCCTACTTGTTCATCTAGGCTGGATCTCATGAGAGTTGCAGTTCGACACAATGGATGGCATCAGACTGAAGAAGTCTGTCCCTTCTCTTTAGGACTCAACTCTATCACTTTAAAAAGTCCTCCCTTTCTAAATGGCACTTTCATTTTTAAGCAATAACTATGCACCTAAGCTTACTGAACAAGGCTAATTCCATCTTAACTGTTAACATGTAAGTAGAGATGGGGGTATTCATATTTGTAGAGTAATACGAGTATCCCCCAGCAGGTGGAAATTGTTGGTATATTGCAAAATGTAACATTCTACCCTCTATGGGTTAACATAAAGACCTCACCTGTCCTTTATAATTAATTAGGCTCTATAAAGCCCACCCCCATCTCTCTCTCTCTACTTCACCTTACACACCTACTCCTTTGATGGTGCTGATTGACGGAGCGAGGCAGAGACCTTGTGTGCTTGCCTGAGTTTGTGGGTGTTGCCTGAGCTGCTGCCTTTTTCCCTTTACTGTTTGGTATGTTTTGTAATGTAGTTTTAGTATTTGTTGTTTTCTTAGGGTGCTTTGTTTACCCCTTTCCTAAGAGAACTAGATAAAGATTATTATTTATATTTTGTCTCAGTGTCTCAAAGCCTTTTTTTCCAACAGAAATAACATTCACTGTTTGTCTGCTGCCCCGGGAGCAGCAGCACCTCCCTATCGTGCTGTGCTCCGCAATGGCTTAGCCACTCCTGGCTGGAGGCGGGATGACAAGGTCACAGAGTGGCTAATCCCTTGCGGAGCACATTGCGATAGGAAGGCGCTGCTGCGCCTGCGGCAGCAGCTGAATGGTGAGTGGACAGTCTGGCCCCATGGGGCCAGACCCTCCTTATCTCCACCTACAGGGGGATATTCGTATTCATCTACGAATACCCCCATCTCTACATGTAAGTTATAATAATTATTCATACATTCTTGACAGTGAATGAAGATGTGAAATCTTTCCACCTCTGCCACAACATGATGGTACCCAGTATTACCTGTTTGGGATGGAAATTTCCATTGCGGTCACAGTTGGGGATGGGGATTAGATACAGAACTTCGTGGGTTCGAGTTTGGGAAGCTGCTAATCTCTCCAGTGCTCTCTGAAGTTCACTCTGACATGAGCCTTGGACCTATTGGCAAAGCAGTGGAAGGAACTGAAGTCAGAACATGGTGACAAGAATAGTTGTGAAAGTACTGAGCCAAAGTACTGCACCTGTTTTGATAACTGCATGCAGTCTCCCTGTTTAAAGAGAGGGATAGCAACGTATCCCACATAGCAGCTTTTTTCCAGCAGAGGGTAGGTGAGGGAATGTGTAGTTGCTAAGGAATAAAAATGCTCTGTTCCCCATTGGCCTTAAAAATAAACGATGCTCCAAATAAAAGGAAAGTAAATGCTTAGTTCAGATGCAATGTGTTCAGGTAGGGGTCTCCAAATCTTGGACTGCAATTTCCATGCTCCCTCACCACTGCTGATACTGTGTAAAGGTGATGAGAATTGCTGTCCAACACCATCTGGTGCCACAGCTGCATACTGCTGGATTAAGTGAATGTCATTTGGAACAAGGCCCATGTAGCTATAAACCATAAGTGACATACCTCTGACCCTGTTGCGCTCAGTGTTTTAAACTACAGACAACTACTGTATCATGGCTCTTTACCACTGGCCATGTTAGCTGGAGATTCTGAGAGTTACAAGTCCAAAAATGTCTGCATAGCCAATGGTTCCCTATCCCCTCCTAAACTGTTTCTGTACAACTTGTGGCCCATCAAAAGGAATGCAACCTACTAGGCATGCATGGGAACATACATGGATATGGATATGACTCTTAACTTTGATGCGCTCCTAGACCCAGGGACAATGGTAGGGTTTCTATGATAGCTGTTTGGCTGGGTCTTATCTGGATTTTAGAAAGGCCATGTGGTGCCCATTTGGCTCATCAGTTGGCCAAGATTCCAAGCTTTCACTTTTTCCCAAAGCAAGTTTCTAGCCTTTATAGAACCAGTGATGTGAGGCAAAACAGTCAATTAACTGTTGTGACTGATGGTTTTGCAAGAAATAAGCCTATGATCAGCTAGTGAGTGAAACCACCCAGACTTTAATACAATATGTAAATCAAAGACTAATGGCCAAATATTACAATTGTGGGAGTGTATAGTCCTTGCAGAGCTGTCTGCATACAGTGCACAGAGCAATGAGTCCTGACTGCAGTTCAAAAAGGGAACTTTTCCAAACTACAATACAATAAAGTATGTCATATTTCATTTCCTGCTTTGGCACGGGGTAGACTTAATACATTTTGGGCTTCTACAGTTCTGTAATTCTATGAGTCTGTGATTCCAGAAACATCAATTCAAATTCCAGTGTAATGCAATCTCAAACATGCAATGGCCATAGTGGATTTGGAATGGGTAAAACCACTACTGCCGGCACAAATGTCCTTGAGCCAGCAGACCCCCTTTTTAGATTCCAGCACACATGGATCTGCTTGAACAAATGTTGTATGGGTTGAGATCAGCTGGAAGTTGAGACACAAAAGGGAAAGATTAGGGGATTTGCTGAGTTACATCAGATCCAAGTCCCTCTCAGCCTAGGCTGATAACCAGTATGCCAGCACAAAGTCATACCAAAGTCAGGGCACTCCTAAGTGATTTCCAACATGGTAAGCTGGTAACACAGTACAGCATCAGCTACCTTAGGGTCAATTAGCTTAGTGTATGCTAGTTGGCTAGTTAGGATTGCACTCCTTTTTTATTTGCAGGATTCTGCAAGTTTAGCCTACCTATTTTAGGTAGATGCCAGCCTGAGGAAAGGACAAAAAGAAGGAAGGGAGGAGTATAAATTATTAGTAGTCTCTAATTGTTGTTGAGTTTATAGTGGTTGTGAATATTAAATTTTCAAAAAGAAACGTGCAGAGGAAATTGGCATGTTTAATAATAAGAAGCAGAAATGGGTGGTGTTACTTTCTTGAAATACACCTCCCAGAATCTCTCAGGAGGCAAAGCTGGATATTTTAATTACAAATTAGAGCTGTATCTCTCAAGGAAATGACATTGTGTGTTTTCCACATATATCTGCAATTTCCTCTGCATTTTCTCCTGCAAATCAGATGGCTGTGTGACACTTACGAGAATATCTGTGATATTGTCATGAATCTGTTGGCAGGGCTTGCCATCAGTAAAAATGAATAGTAAAACCAACAGCCAATTCATGAAAAACACTACCACAAGTTCGCAGAGATAGCAAAATGTCATTTGTTCTTTTAGTTATATGCACCAGAATGTACATAACCACTTTATATAATATTCCTCTCTCCTTTTTATGTTGGAACAACCCTGTAAAGTAGGTTTGGCTGAGACATTATTCCAAGGATAATGAATTAAGTTTCTTACTGGCTGGAATTTGAACTTGGGTCTCCCTGCGCCAAGTCCAACACTAATAATTATACTATACTGTCTCTTTTTTTATCAGCATTTACTATATAAATGACATCATGGGTGGAACATACTGGTAGAAAAACAATGCAATAATCAGTGTCTTCAGTTTGCACAATATGGACAAATGTATTTTGATTTGCAGACCATGCAATTTTTAATATGCAAATAAAGGCTGGCTAATTATAATTTGGATAATATGCACATCACACCACCCAGATTTGTAGAACTAGAGCAGATATAATAAGGAAACTCTAGACAAAAGGGCTTTCTGACCAACAGGGCAGGCCAGGGTGCAAATGTGATATAGCTAGCACATTTTATGCCACATGGTGAGCCACGCCAATCATGCTAGTCTCACCTCAACCAATATGATATGATTTGGTTCCCCTATGGCTTCATTTGAAGTGCTCTAAAGCTAAATGATTGCCAGTAAAGTGTGTGGTGAAGCAGGTTAAGTGGTGTGTTTTGTCATTCCTGCTACATTTCTGGGCTGTGAGGAACACTGCTTAAAGCAGTATCCACAGTTAGGAATACGATTGATATTCTTGGACCACAGCTTGTACAAGTTACTTTTTTGGACCACAACTCTAAGGATCCCTCCCCCAATTCCATTTTCCCAATTTCTGTCTTGTACTGTAATATTCGTCAGCCAATGGTAAGGGATACTGAGAAGTGCAGTCCAAAATAATTTGGAAGGTCACAAATTGCTCATCCCCAGTGTGCAAAACTAAACATCAGGTGAGGAAATGCCTCATGTTCTCAGGCTTGGTTTATAGTGCTCGTTCCCACACCACAGAGAAATCAGGACACCTCACCACCGGCCGGATGTCCTCCCGGAGAGGCAGGTTCCCATTGCTCCTCATCTTGACACCACTGTTTATTCGTTCCCGTGTTCTTGCTTGCTGCTTCTGGAGACATTTTCTGTCAAGGCTGCTGCAGGGGCTGAAGTTATTGGTGTTGGGGATGTCAACATCCTCCACTTCTAAAGAGGAACAAAGCCACAGGGGCATGAGAAGGATCAGCAGAGATGTTAAAGGAGCATTCATAACATGTTCTGAAGGACACATATACATGTTCCATATACTCTTAATACCTGGAACAATTCTGCGGAATTTTAACCAATGTAGCTTGCATTAAAGGCATCCATCATCATGTACGCAAATGTGAAGTGGACTAAAGGTACGAAGAAGACAGGGCGGCAACATGAAAGAGAGCAAGATTACTGTACTTTTAATAGTTGTGAGGAAGAAGGAATTTTAGCAGGTGTGATAGTTAGCCTGATAAAGCTACATATGCAGAAATTAACTTTTCTGCATAACTATTGAAGTTACTGGAGCGCTGCCTTTTATTTTTTTATTGTCTCTGTGTTTGTAGTGTGTGTGTGCTTTAATGTGGACACTCAAGAAAGAGAGCAAGTTCTTGCTATTTCTTTAGTTGGACCTTTTGGAAACGGGCTTTTTGGAGGTGGTAATACAGAACACGTATTGAGTCAGATATGTGAAGAAACTTTTCCATGTGCTGGTTTCTCTTTAGTTAAGATTTTATCCAAGCTAAGGAGTTTATTGCTAATTGGTGCTTAATGTTTTGTGAAACATACTAAGGCTTTATCTTCTTACTGACCTTACTTCTGTGCCATAAGGTACAGGTATAAAAATGCTACAAAACTAGCATTGTTGTGTCTTGTTTTCTTTTCCTTTCTTTCCTCCAGTGTCTACTGATTCCCATATTGTGATTCTACTTCGTATCACCAGCACCTACCAATGATCTGGGTAAGAAAATACAAAGGACCCTACCATTATGATAGTGTCACAGAACAAGGAGATGCTCCCTTCTCAGCCTACCACTCACATAATCTCTCCACCAGCATGGCCATCGCTGATTCTGAGGGGTTCTGGAAATTGCACCTTATAACTTTTTCCCAGTTCTGAATACAGGTAAGAACAACCAAGTAGTAGAGGGAACTACTTAGGTATATAGATGTCAATTTCACAGCATTGCATTTATTCTACACATTTTAGCAGATGTCACATTTTTCCCAGCACAAGACATTCCAAATGGATCTTATCTGCCAGGTCTGATCTCTGTACTTCCCATTCTCCTGTCCTTAAACTACATCAGGTATCCAAAAGACTCCTGCAATTTTATATCCATGTGATCTTACTTTCCAGTACTATCAAGCGAGATGACAATTTGCTTTTCATCAGTTACTGAGTTTCCAGAGCTCATTTCTCAATGTTCTCTTTTATCTGTACAGGGATGCTTATTGCTCTGAAACCTGAAACCACAGTAAGGAGAAGACAGGTCAATTATTCCTTATTTAAAAGGTTATGGATCAAGCCCTCCTGGAATTCATAGAATCACTCCCCTATAAATTCATGGTTAAACAAGTGGCTGAATTAATCAGCAAAGGAGAACGACATTCTGTACAGTCCTTGCACTGATAACAGGTTCTAGAAGCTATGTCTGCTCACGTGCTGTTTAAAGCAAGCCCTGCTTGAGTTGTAACATGCTCGGAAGCTATAAAATATACATGTTCCAATGTTGGCAATAAAAACAGGAGCTGGCCCTGTGTCATAGCACAAAATAATCCTTGGAGAGGATGTTTGGCCAGTAAACTGGACCAAAAACAGGGATTTCTCCCCCCACCCCAAAAACCCTCTTTGAGTTCGCCCACACATATGACTTCCATTGTTTGTCTCAACCTTTCTCCCTCCCTCTCCTTTTTTATTTTCAAAAGCCTGAATCAGCTTACTGATTCTGGGTTTCCAAAACATGTTCTGTCTTTCATTCCCAGTTTCTAAATGTGCTCCGTTTCCACAAGTATGGCTGTTCTGGCTTTAATTCATCCTTTCCAAATGGGCTGAATCCAAGTTTCCATGAATTTATGCGCAATTTTGGATGACCTTCATAAGCTGACAAACCAGTGGAGGTACACAAGGAGACAGGGTTTTCTCTATCGGTTAGCATTCTCCTTCCTTCTTCCTGCTACGTTGAAGATATGAACTTTGCAAAATTCTGAAGAAATAATATTGTTTGCTTACCAAAGCACTTCATTCTTCTACAGATAGCAGCTTCTAAGTGTGATACAGCTTTGTCAGATTCAGTAGTTTCATGAGCAAGATTTTTTTTTCTTGAGGGAGCATTTATATTGCCCATTTTAAAATACATAACACTAAACGGTGGTTTCACACAACGTCCATGAGCAGGAATGAGTTAGACTTAACCTTAGACTTGCATACACATCTACTGTACACACTCTTCCAATCGCACCAAGAGGAGTGCAGTCTTTTATTTTACTTTTAATTGGCTACCGTTTTATAATTTAGTCTCTAATTCTGGTCTGGTTTCCAGACGTCAGCTTCAAAAACCATGGCTTGGCAATGGCTTGTTTGAATCTTGATGCTTAGTATTAACTATAGTTTGTTGCCCTGAATGAAAATACAAAGTGTGGTTTAAAAAAGGCAAAAGCTTTCAAACTACTCTTAGTGTGTGGGAGAGATAGAGGAGTTTAGGGGAGAGCATGAGTGTGTGTTTTGCTGCTAGTTCTTCATGCTCATTTTCAACACACTCAATAACCACAGCTTAGCATAAGGTGCAAATGCAGCTGCTGTTCACTGCCATGTTCCCCTTTATCGGTGTTGGTGCTGCTTGGCTTGACCATCAAATACTTTTGACAAGGTTGGCTTCTTTGGGAATCTCTGGAAGTGCTAGCTCTTGGTTTCTCTTCTTACTTGTCAAATCATTCATTCTCAGCATCTTTGGCTACTAAAACCTCTCAACCTTTTCCTATCACTGTTGGTGTCCCACAAGGTTCAGTGCTGGGCCCAATTCTTTTTTCTTTATATACACTTTCCTTGGGCGCTGTAATTTCTGAACAGAGCTTTCACTATCGTATCTATGTGGATCATACCCCAAGTATACCAGTCTTACTCAGAGCTTAATGATAAGGTCTGGACTTCTTTGAGAGGCTGTTTGTCAAATGTTTTGTTGTGGTTGTCCTCTCACCACTTGAAATTTAATAAGGACAAGACTGAAGTTCTGGTTCTTTTACCTAGATCGTCCCACTTTGACTGTTTCCTCTATTTCTCTCCGGGGCTGCTCAGTGACCTTTGGGCCCAATTCTTTTTTCTTTATATACACTTTCCTTGGGCGCTGTAATTTCTGGACAGAGCTTTCACTATCGTATCTATGTGGATCATATCCCAAGTATACCAGTGTTACTCAGAGCTTAATGATAAGGTCCACTTTCCTTGGGCGCTGTAATTTCTGAACAGAGCTTTCACTATCGTATCTATGTGGATCATACCCCAAGTATACCAGTCTTACTCAGAGCTTAATGATAAGGTCTGGACTTCTTTGAGAGGCTGTTTGTCAAATGTTTTGTTGTGGTTGTCCTCTCACCACTTGAAATTTAATAAGGACAAGACTGAAGTTCTGGTTCTTTTACCGAGATCGTCCCACTTTGACTGTTTCCTCTGTTTCTCTCCAGGGCTGCTCAGTGACCTATGTCTCAGAGACTAGGGATCTTGGTGTTCTAGTAGTGGATGATTGGCTCTCACTTTGTTCATTTGTGAATGTGACAGCCGAGAGATGTAATCTCCATTTGGCTAATATTCGCCAAATTTGTCACTTCCTGACTCCTGAAACTACAAAACTTCTTGTTCGTGCCCTGGTGGCTTCACGTCTGGATTATTGTAATAGCCTGTTAGCCGGTCTTTCTTCTTCTGCACTTCGTCCTCTCACCTTGGTGCAGAATAGCGTGGTATGAGTAGTTTTAAACCTGCTGCACTACTCTCACATTTCCTAGCACCGCAGGGCATTGCACTGGTTACCCATCAGATCAAGAACATATTATAAGATTCTGACATTTAAAGCATTGCATTTCTCTTCCCCTATTCAGCGGAACTTGTAGGGTGGCATATTCCTGGTAAGAGGACTCAATCTGTGGATTCTGGTCTCTTACTAGTCCCTTGGACCAAAGTGGCTAACTCCAGACTAAGAGCATTTACTCATCTGGCCCCAAAATTATGGAATTCCCTTCCACATTACCGTCGCATGGAACCAGAGTTGGACAAATTCAAACAAGACTTAAAAACATACTTGTTCAACCTGGAACCATAGGGGCTAACCAGGGGAAATAGGCAATTATTGGGATAGAATTACTGTACTTTAATTATTATATTGTTATTATAGCTATTTTGATTGTTTATCACCTTATTGAATGATAATTGCTCACTGTATGTTTTTATCATTGTAATTATGTTATGGTTGTATTTTTACTGTTTTTGACTATTGGAATGCACTCTGGTATAGTGTGCAATATAAATTATTATTATTATTATTATTATTATTATTATTAGTAGTAGTAGTAGTAGTAGTAGTAGTAGTAGTAGTAGTAGTAGTAGCAGCAGCAGCAGCAGCAGCAGCAGCAGCAGTAGCAGTAGTAGTATCATTATTATCCCTTTAACCTCTGAAGTTGTTCTTGTAGAACACATTATATGCACCTGTTAAGAACAGTCAGACAGGATGTGTCCAGAATGCTCATCTGTCATCTGGAAAGTGCTGTATTTTTCCGTGTATAAGACAATACTTTTGTCTAAAATCTTTAGACTAAAAATTGAGGGTCGTCTTATACACGGAAGTCAGTTGAGAACAAAATGGCCCATACCTTGCCTCTGCACAGGGCAGCCGAAGCCTGGCCGGGAGAGGGCAGCCGAGGCGCAGCGGAATGCTGCTCAGACTAGACGGCACAGAGAGTGCACGGCAGACCAGCTGAGGAGGGTTCATCCCCCACTTGTGCAGGACTGACCGGAGGCCTTCTCTGCTCTGCATGACCCCCGTTCTCCTGGCTTCTGCTAATGCGTATGGGGGTGCACGGCAGTCCCTGCTGAGGGAGGCCCCCCGCCTCTTCCCCTGTTCAGAGCCACTGACCGTAAACTTGGCGCTGCCCACAGAGAAGTTCTGGGGCAAAACAGGAGGGAG